GTAGTATGCCTCCTGTTTTCCCCTGGTAGTGGTAGTAGTAGTAGTAGTAGTAGTAGTAGTAGTAGTAGTAGTGGTAGTACTAGTACTAGTAGTAGTAATAGTAGTAGTAGTAGTAGTAGTAGTAGTAGTGGTAGTGGTAGTAGTGGTAGTGGCAATACAAATACTGATATTATGAGCGGTATTAGTAAGTCTGCTGCGTTGTCGTCGACATAGCCAACTGCAAGGGTTGCATGAGTATTCTTGCTAGCGAAACAAATGCCAACCTTTGGTGGCTTCTTCTGCCGGTACTCACGTTGATCATCGCACCAACAAGGACGAGCGAGAACCCTAGCAAGGGCAACTACAGCTTGGATTCTGCTAGCCATAGGAGCAATATGGCTCACTAGATGCTGAATCCTGAAACTGTGCTGGTAAATCTGACAACAGAAGGCACTAGGGTTACCATCAACATAAAACGTGCTAATTGTTCCAAGTCCTCGCGAAGGCAGATGTCAACGGAGACGGGCTCGTGCCGGTTAGCCGTTTCTACCTCCAGGTTGCTTGCGACAGGGCTGACGGGATGCAGAGTAAAAAAGAGTCATCACAGCAGTAGGAACACATGTACCAGCAGTGACAGTTAGGAGTTAGGAGTAAGGGTACCTAGAGCCCGGGGCATGATGATGATCGCCGGCATGGGGGGAAATACTCATGCTAGTGAAAGCGACAGAGGCGGCACAAATGCTACTTCTAGTGCTCCTGATCCCACTCCTACTCCTACTACCTAGTTCTATTCTTAGCCCAAGCCCTAGTCCTAGTCCTAGTCCTGCTTCTACTACTCCTACGCCTGCTCCTACTGCTGCTAGTATAGTAGCACCAGTGCCTGCTTCTTCGGGTGGAGTTTAGAAAGGGCCTCGGCCTTGGGGAATGCGGGTCGGGATCCTGAGCCCAGCGCCTTGCGATTTTGTGGTAGGGTTGGGATGTTTACCGTTGGGAATGTCGTTTTTCGGGCTTACAAAAGGGTCATAGGCTCTTGGCATCGCGATTGGGAAGCTAAGCCGCTCAATCATCGACCCCGGAAGTCTGAAGAAATTGGGGGCCGCAGAATGCACACAAGCGAATTCACAGCAGACTGCCTATTCATGCTGTAGGATTGGGGTTCAGGGTTCAGGGTGTAGGATCTTCTTCCCAGAAGTATCAAACAGTTGGTCTACGTTGGATTTGCCTAAGCAAACACCACGCCGAACTGCCTTTTTAGGATGCTCCTTTGCCTGGCAGGCTGACAGCGCCAAGTACCAGTTCAGCGAGTCGG